AGACAGACAGGTAGATAGATAGATAGACAGACAGACAGACAGACAGGTAGATAGATAGGCAGACAGACAGACAGGTAGATAGATAGACAGACAGACAGATAGATAGATAGACAGACAGATAGATAGATAGATAGACAGACAGACAGACAGACAGGTAGATAGATAGGCAGACAGACAGGTAGGTAGATAGATAGACAGACAGACAGACAGGTAGATATATAGACAGACAGACAGACATACAGGTAGATATATAGACAGACAGACAGACAGACATACAGGTAGATATATAGACAGACAGATAGACAGACAGGTAGATAGATAGATAGATAGATAGATAGATAGATAGATAGATAGATAGATAGATAGATAGACAGACAGACAGACAGGTAGATAGATAGATAGATAGACAGACAGACAGGTAGATAGATAGGCAGACAGACAGGTAGATAGATAGACAGACAGACAGGCAGATAAATAGACAGACAGGTAGATAGATAGATAGACAGACAGACAGACAGACAGGTAGATAGATAGGCAGACAGACAGGTAGGTAGATAGATAGACAGACAGGCAGACAGGTAGATAGATAGATAGACAGACAGACAGATAGATAGACAGATAGAGAGACAGACAGACAGACAGGTAGATATATAGACAGACAGACAGACATACAGGTAGATATATAGACAGACAGATAGACAGACAGGTAGATAGATAGATAGATTTACCTGCGCACATTTATTTTATTCTCATGTTTTCTATTCCATAGACTTACCCACACATTAAATTTTACTAACTTTGTATGTTAATACCGTCAAAGTACCTTGATACAGTACAGTACTGCGCTCCCTCTCCGCGCATGCGCGGTAGCGTACAGCCTCATCCGGGTTCTTCGCTAGAATCCCTCTGAGAGGAGGCGGGAAATGGCGTCCCGAGCAGCTGTAGGTCTCTGTGTCGTTCTGTGACTCGCGCTCAGCGGAGAAGTGACTGAGAGACGCGCGCGGGCCGCTCCAGCCACAACCGCCTCTGCGACCCCTGGCATGTAAGTGTTTAAACGTAGCATATTTTGATCACATACGTGCAAAAATAAATATTTAACCCTACGCCACGGTCGCAGTGCTTTGAAATCTCGCGTCTTCACGACTCGCCCCCCTCCGTCTGTGAGAACATGTTCTTCACGCAGATGAAGACGCTAGCGCTATTGTCTTATATCGCATTTAAACATATTTACTAATAACTAAAACATCATAGGACAAATAAAAACGTCCGTTTGTAATTTTCCCAGTGCGTGTTTACTGTATCTAAAGGCTTGTTCGCTGGAGCGCGGGTGTCGCGAGACAGCCAACAAGTCATCTGTTAGCGTTAGCCGCTGCATTAAAACGCCCTCGGACTCAAATATTCACATTCAAATAAGATGTGTTATTAAGACGAAAAAACCGGCGTGGGTAGCTCAAAGTCGGCGGGCCAATTTTACGAGCGACTGCTGTTGGCGATTTTATTGTTTTGATGTCAAAACCACTGAGCAGTTGGCTTGCTAACTTGAGCGCGACCATTTTTTAGCTTAATAATAAAAGTGTAGCTCGGAGGCGCGGGCTGTGCGAACTGACAAGAAATAATGAAGTAGCTCATGATTTTAGGAGTGTATTGTGTTGGCTGGGGAATATAAGAAGTTTTACAGCACGGGAATGTGTTAGACATTATCGGCAGGCTAATGGCACGCTGCATTTGTTTAAACTGAGCAAGCGGGCTATGAAGAAGACATGCTGCACCCCCGCCCACTTCAAACACATCCGAGCACTTTCACTGGGTTATTGCTACTGCACATTCCAGTGCTTTTATGAAAACACACAAAACCTTTAAAAGGAATATACTCACATTTCTACATTTAATTCACATTATGACTGTAGAACATAAGATTGCTCCTCTCATATTTCTGTTCCTCTCAGACATGCACGCTGCAGGGTTTCTGAATATCAAAGACCCATTGGTTGTAAATTAAAATATTAAAGATTTTTTTCCTGAATGTATTAACACACCATATAAGTCTTATATTTTAGATGGTAATTGCTTTATAATTTTGTGTGTGTGTATATATATATATATATATATATACATACATGCATACATACAGGGATTGAACTTAACTTTTTCACTCACCAGCCAATTTGGCTACTAAATTTTTAAGTTACCGGCCATTCATAACTTCTACTAGCCAAAAAAAAGAGACAGAAATACACCAACAGTTTGAGGCCGTCTACACTGGGCATGACAAAGCGACCGTTACAAATCATATTGTCAGAACTAGAGGTGTGCGATATTGACAAAAAATAATATCTCAATATTTTCTGTGATTTTATCGATAAAGATAATTAGACGATATTTTGCTGAGTGTGTTATTGTGCGGATATCGTAAGGACTACCGTGGACAGCTGACTCCTAAAGTTTTTGATATTCTTCATATTCTGTGTGGTCAGTTCACAGCAGTGATAGAAATTAAGCTTTTCCAATAAATTGAAATTGATTTTTACCTTTTATGGACATTTTTACCTTTATAAAGCCATTTTTGTTCTAAAGGTGTGCATCATCTTTTAAGTCAAACTCTTACATTTAATCAGGCAATTATAATGACAATACATTTAGGCTGTTGCTAAACAAATGAAGTCAGTATCAATAAAATTCATCTTTGCAGAAGTTGCATACGAAGTGGCATTTAGATGTGTTTACACATGTTAATGCGGCTCAGAGGGGCATGGGATGCTTTAGCCTGCAGTTACAAATGCATAAATAATGTTTTGATATTTTAAACATGAAATGTTGAATAGTGATATTTGAAATAATTTTAAAAATGAAAAGAATTTTTGGAATGTTTTTTGTTGGCGAAATAGCGTTTTAAATGCTGTCTAAAACGTAAGTCTCTTGATAGTAACTTATTCTTTATTGAACTGTTGTATAAAATCAATATCACATTTGTAACCATGCTGATTTTTTAAGAAAAAAAACGGCACTCTTCCTGTGATATTGATTAACTATATGAATTGATATAACTATATGAATATATACATTTTCTGCCCCCTTATCTTGAATTATGGGATCATTCTTAATGCATATTAATAGACTGAATCATGCAGTGAAAGATCGCACTCTAAATGCGCACGCGCACTAAAGCCTGTGTTGTCTACTCTAACCAGACTTCATCACGTCACGTATGCGTGCCTCTGTAGGTGTGTTTTGTTTGTTTTTTGCAATATACTCGATAATGTCATGATGTCTCACGAGTTCAGTGTTTGCGCTAAACCTGCACAGATTTGGCTTGCACGAACTTCCCCAAGAAATGAATGAGTGAACATAAATTACGAAAGGTAACCCGCCAAATTGGCTAGTGATTTGACAGCGTTACCCGCATTCGGCGGGTGTTAATTACAAACCGTGTATATGTATGTATGTATGTATATATGTGTATATATATATATATATATATATATATATATATATTTATATTTCACACACAGACTTTTCTTTATTTTGACTAGACATTGCGGTACAAAAAGAACTGTAAACTTGTGGTTTTTGAATGTTTGACACATGTGTGTAAACCACAGGTTCCCAAACTTTTTTGTCAGCCGAACACTTTAGATGTACAATATTGACTTGTAGTACCCCTTGAGGATTGAAGTTAATATACATATATTTTTTTTTATATTTTTCTTTATTAAGTTTTATCACTTGCAGTTACATTCATCACCCCAACCCTCTAACGGCATTAAAATAAAATAAAAACATACAATCCAGAGTACAAAACTGACAGTGCAGGAATTAGGAGTCCCTCACGAGTTCAGTGTTTGCGCTAAACCTGCACAGATTTGGCTTGCACGAACTTCCCCAAGAAATGAATGAGTGAACATAAATTACGAAAGGTAACCCGCCAAATTGGCTAGTGATTTGACAGCGTTACCCGCATTCGGCGGGTGTTAATTACAAACCGTGTATATGTATGTATGTATGTATATATGTGTATATATATATATATATATATATATATATATATATATATTTATTTATATTTCACACACAGACTTTTCTTTATTTTGACTAGACATTGCGGTACAAAAAGAACTGTAAACTTGTGGTTTTTGAATGTTTGACACATGTGTGTAAACCACAGGTTCCCAAACTTTTTTGTCAGCCGAACACTTTAGATGTACAATATTGACTTGTAGTACCCCTTGAGGATTGAAGTTAATATACATATATTTTTTTTTATATTTTTCTTTATTAAGTTTTATCACTTGCAGTTACATTCATCACCCCAACCCTCTAACGGCATTAAAATAAAATAAAAACATACAATCCAGAGTACAAAACTGACAGTGCAGGAATTAGGTGTCCCATGTTTGTTCGGTCCATAAATGATCATTTAACATGAAAGGCCTGATAACAATAAGGAAACGTATGGCTAATAAATATGATGTATATGGCAATAAGCTAAAATGTTCACAGAAGGGGCACATCCTCATCAAAAAATAAATAAATAAGTACACCCTGTAAGAATACCAGTCTAGAAAACATAATAGAAGAGCTAAACCTATTAATTTGAACAGAAATAGAAAATACACATGTATAAATAAATACATTACGTAAATAATAATAATAATAATAAAGCATATGAATAGAAGGGGAGGTTCAGGCATATCATTCCATTTTAGAGGGAGGGAAGTTGTTCAAAATATCTTCTAAAGGGGGACCAGATGTCTTGAAACTTACGTTTTGAACCTCGAATCATATATTTAATCTTTTCCAACTGAATGTGAAACATTACTTTTATCCAGATACTACGCGTTGGAGGGTCTGCCCTTTTCCACTGAAATAATATTAAAGCCTCGCCAGTGGAGTAGTGAAGGTGATAACAGAACAAATGTCTTTCCTGAGTTCTATACCCTCAGGCATCACACCAAAAATACTCATCATAGGATCAGGATCAATCCAGATATCATATATATGATTATATGATTCAAAAATCTCCCTCCAAAACTCCTCCAAATTTGGACACGCCCAGAACATATGAGCAGTTGTAGCAGGCGACTGCGAACATCTATTAATATCCTGATATTTGGATAAATCTTGGCTAGATTAAGTTAATATATTAATAATTTAATGACACATTTGCATATTCATCTTGATTTATAGTCACAGGAAATGAAAGTAAATTGATTTTTTTTTTTACTTTGTAGCTGAACTTTAAAGTGGACTCAAACCTCTTTTTAGTTATTTTAACTTTACAAAAAGGTTAAAATACAAAAATTAAGACCTACTCTAGCCTACTGTAAATCACATTTGTACTGTAAAAGAAAAAAATACAAGACTTATTTTACAGTACTAGTTACAGTACTAATATTTATCTTAAATTCTTGACATTCAAATGTTCGTAAAGTAAACCTAGCACGCGTTGTGCCGCAAATGTTCACTAAACATGAAAACGTGTTCACAAAACGCATGCTCTGGTCTGGATATGAACTATGATCCATGCAGCGAGTGTTGTTAAACTCATTGTGGCGTTCCACACAGAAACCGCTCTCTCATGTGCGCTCCACGTGTTACATATTAAATATTTATTATAATATTTACGGTTATGTTTACAAAGATGAACAGACAGCGCAGAAGCTCTTTCATGGGATTTGAATTCTCCGCTGTAAGATAACCTCATGCATAATACAGTGCCGTGATTGGATTATAAGAGTTCATTCTCATGAATAATACTGAGAAAAGCTCGGAAAACTGATGACGTAGATGCGTACTCTCCAGACACGGCAGCCAATCACCGCTGCAAATTAACGCAAATACGTCACTTTTCGTGACATAGGTTCAACTTCGCTTTTTGAACCGGAAGAACGAAATTGCTCCAAAAAATAAAGAAAAAAAAAAACTTTTCCCTTAATGGACGTAATGAGTGCTATTGTTGTCTTCACTGATGTGCAACCTGTTCATATATGTTAACATCTGAAAAAATGTTTCATGACACTTTAAACAAAGCAATTTTTGTGAACAAGTGCTTTGAAACATGTAGTGCGTTAGACTGCACAATTATTTAATTCACTTGCACTCTTTGATTGAATAATTACTTTTATTTAATTAAATGTTTCCTCTAATAAATAATTTTCTCCAGTATAATTATTAACTTTTCATCAACTCCTTGATCTAGACAGACACACAAGTTTATTGTCCTTTAGGATTCTTATGTCTTTAGAATATTAAGGCATTTCATATTTGATCAAATGTAAAAATGTATTATTCTTAATGCAAAGTTGTAATTGCATGCCAGTATTTTTTTTCTAGGGGTTTTTGCCATTTTAATTTAGGAGGGGTAGCGAACAGTTGAGCTGGATTTGAGTCTGGTTGCCTACATAAACGTCACCACACTTGTTGTAGCATGTGTTTGTACATTACACCAAGTCCAAATTTTATCGACAGATAATATCTATGCCAAGTTGTTAATCTCACAAATCCCATACGCAAGAGCATCTGTGTCAAGGTTTGCAAGCAGGTTTAACCCATCATAGTCTTGATATAATTCCCCATTGATTGGGTGATGATTTCCCCATCTTTTTTGGCACTCTTAAAGAAAGCCCGTAGGGTGCTGTGGAGACCTTTCTTGTCAATGGCCGCAGGGGACAGGTCCGATTGTTTTCCTTGAGTTGCCATGACTGGTCTCCGCAGTGGAATTTCCCTACAGCCGTATTGACAGCTGAATATCTTGCATTCAGTGTTATTAATATAGCGGTGCTGAAACTTATGCAAATACGCATGGTGCAGCTCTGCACTTTTTTTTTTACTGTTACAGATGAACTGTGTTTGTCTTCCCAGTCTTACATGTGACTTTTGGGACAATGAGGCTGAGAGTGCGTAAGGCTTCTCAGCAGCGGAGCGCCAGCCCATCCGCCCGGACCACCAAGACCAAGAGGAAGCACTCCGAGGTGGAACACGCTTTGTCCTCCGAAGACGCCAAGATGCAGAAGCGAGAGACAGGCATTTTCTCCACCATCAAACGGTTCATTAGAGGCAATGCTGTCAAGGTTGGGATTTGAACTTGCGTTTGAGATGATTTTGTGGAGGCAAAGTGGTTTGGTTTCAGCTGTGTTTCTTAACGTCAGGTGGAGCAGTGCACTCCTGCTAAGAGAAGCCGTATAGACTGCGATTCGGACAGTAATCTGATCACATCCACTCCGACCGGTGGGAACCTGCCCAGCAGAGCAAACCCCAGAACCCGCAGGAAAGGCCCCGTCAATGGAGGTATGATTGCTGACACTCACAGATCATCAGGCTACTGCTCCTTTAAAGGGATAGTTCACTCAAAAAAGAAAATACTGTCATCATTTACTCAAACTCAGGTTTACTTCCCTCATAAACACAGATGAAGAATGTTGGAAACCAAACAGTTGACAGTAGCCATTGTCTTCCATTAGTATTTTTTTCCCCCATGGCTGCCATCAGCTGTTTGGTTAACAACGTTCTTCCAAATATTATCTTTTGTGCTCAACAGAAGAAGCTCATACAGGTTTGGAATAACTTGAGGGTGACAGAATTTTAATTTTTGGGTGAACTATCTCTAAAAAGTTCTGTATGTGATTTAAACTTAGTTGTGAGTGGCTATGCCGACTGCCAGTGTTCTCTTGGTGTTGAATGTTTCTCATTTTCTTCTGCTCAGACACCATGACGGGTCAGAGTAAACCAGTGAAGCCCAATGGGAAGCTGGAGGTGCAGACGGAAACTCTGAGCAGTCCGCCCCGCACCACCCTCCTGGGAACCATCTTCTCTCCTGTTTTTAGCTTCTTCTCACCCGCCAACAAAAACGGTAAGGGACTGTGATCTCAATTGTCAGCTGATAAATGTATGCACCTAAATGAGACTGAGATATTTATGTCATAATAAAATGTAGTTAGTCCCTCCTTTTCAGACCTCTATATATAAAACAATACGTTTATTTATTTGTTTATTTATTTAAAATCACATTTGAAGTCGTCATGAAATCAATATTGACCGTATGTATTTTCTTTATCTACATTCCTGGGGCCAGATTCACAAAACATTCAAAATAAAATTCTTCTTAATTGTTATTTTTTAGGGCTGTGTATATCACCAGCGAAGTCACGATACTATACATATCACAATATGGGACTGCACTGAATTTCACCTCAGCAGAATTTAGTAAAACAGCTGTTTATGAAACACTGCATACTATAGGGCCATTGCTAACTATAGGCAGAGCAGGCAGTTTACCTCTGCATTATGAAGGGCCTCCATAACTGTACCACAGTACAATATAAGTAATGGCATATGTTTCATGTTTACATTGGGTACTCCCCTCCAGGTACAATATTCTTGATTGTTTGCATCTTGTTATTAAGCCCATAAATAATAATGTTCTCGTTCTAATACATTTATATTGTAATGTCCTCATACTAATAAAAAAAAATATATATAATCTCAACATTGCTGGTAGGTTATCATTGCACAAATTAACACACTCTACATTTAAAAAATAAGAATAAAAATGAAAAGAGTTCTAATCTAATGCGCTGTCTTCACTGTATCTAACGCACACACGTTTAGTCACTCAAACAGATCACGTTGCGTGCGCACACAGACATTCAGCAACACAAACTTATCAATAAAATAGCTTAATCGCTCAAGAGCTACATTATCTTTCTCAACAAGGAGCTGGTAACATCATTGCTTCTAAAGCAAATAAAGCCACAGCTTTACTGTTAATAGAGAAACACGGCAAACGGTGTTAATTCAAACAAACACAGCCTTTCTTTCTCTCTCGCTCTCTCTTTTGCGTAAATGAAAACTTGATGAATTACACTTTTCTGAGAATAGAATATTGAAGTGGAGATCGCTAAACTGCAAGCTAGCCGGTGTTTTCAGAAAGCAAGCGAGTTTATCCACAGTGGGGAGAGAGCGCGCGTACACATGGTTGCCAGGTTGACAAAGATAAGTAGCACACTTAGTAGATATTTCCGTATTGCGCAAGTGGGAAGATCTGTTTCGGGGATTAAGTCTCTTAATATCAGCCAACCCAGTTGTGCTCCTCTGCGGCCAGATTAAACCTTGTTGTAGCCTATATATTATGCTCTATTCATTATTTTTTAGAAACCTCGCACTTTTCTACTCCATTTTAGACGGTGTTCTTGTATTCAAATTAAGCGCGGTCCACTGCTGCACATGTGCCACATGATATTGATACAGAGACAGCTGTATCAATACTCGTATCGTCAAATCTCTGACGATACATCGTTATGACACAGCACTTCTATTTTCATAATCTTTTTTAAGATTTAAGGTTAGAATTCTAAATATTTCTAAAGTCCTTGTGGTGAGACGCATTGTAATGTAAATTATTTATTTGGTTATATTTTGTGCTTTCTCTCTTTTTTTCATTTTAAGTTTTTCATTTTGTTTGTATTTGTTAGATCTATGATAGCAATCTACAAATAATTGTACTTGACACGCTTGGGTGGGCTAGAGGGAGGGCTTTATAAAACATTTAATTATCTGTAAATTGAATATATTGTTTGCCCATTGAAGAAAATATAAAGTATAAATCATAAGAAGTATTCTAAATATTTCAAAATTACGAATGTTCTTATGAAACGTATTAAGAATGTTCTGAAGACATTAAATTGAAATTCAGAATCAGAATTGAGAGTTTATCAGCAAGTCTTTGCCAATAATTGCCAAATAATTAGATAATAACAAACTTATTTGGCTGTCATTTTCTTAAGAAAAAAAAATAAGATTTTTCTAAGAAAATATTTGAGAACTTTTTTGCTTGAAGTTTTTACACATTTTAGTCTGACCCTATGTCTTAAATAGGGACGCACTGATAAAATCATGTCTTCATGTAAGATTTATTCAAACATTTATAATTCACAGTATAATTTTTATTAAAAAATTTTTTTTTCTTTTTATAGCTAATGCCGTTATCATTATAGTTATCATTCGTGGTATGAAAAAGCCTTTATTTTGTACAATTCATCAGTGCACAATATTAAAAAGGAATAAAGTATTAACTAATAAGCTAAATAGCAATTTAGATTTTGTTTTAGGCCACCGGTGCAGCTCTTTTAAAGTCTATTTACTGCACTAATTTAATGTTACAGCAATAACAACACATGATGGTACATTTGGAAAAGTGTATTTGTCATTGGGATACACCGAGATAGAAGAAAAAGCCTTTCTTGATTTTTTTTTTTTCTTCCCCTCACAGTTCTGATCTGAATCAGAAATGCCACATATTGAAGTATCATTGGTTGTGAATATTGTTTAGTATTGTTTTTAAAGGGATAGTTCACCTAAAAATGAATTTCTTCATTAATTTGATTAATTTCTCACCCTCATGTCGTTCCAAACCCATAAGACCTTCATTCATCTTCAGAACACAAAGTAAGATATTTTTGATGAATTCTGAGAGCTCTCTGACCCTCCACAGTCAGCAGTGCAACTGACACATTCAAGGCCCAGAAAGGAAGTAAGGACATCGTTAAAATAGTCCATGTGACATCTGTAGTTCAACCTTAATTTTTTGAAGCTATAAGAATACTTTTTGTGTACAAACAAAACAAAAATAATGACTTTATTCAACAATTTCTTCTCTTCCCTGTCACTCTTCGATGCATGTTCACAACAGTACCACGACACATGAGCGACATGAGTAATGACAGGATTTTCATTTTTGGGTGAACTATCCCTTTAAAGAGGTCCAGCACTCACATGGGTATAAAAGCAGATGAAGACCATCATCACATTGAAATGTCTAAAGCGGCATATAGCCAGGACTAGTATTTTTTTGTCATAGTATAACAGAACTAATACCTGCAGCATTTCTGAGCTAAAGCATTTGTGCAGAAGACTCTTCACTGACGTCTGAAACCCTCTGGTTCAGGTGCAGCCGTCTAATCGGTGGCACCTGCTGCAAACTGAAACCACTGATCCAAAACAATGCATTTACCAGCAAAATTGCCACATTTTTCCTTCATTCTGAGCTCTTTCTGATTTCATCACACTGTTAAACCGACTCTCTCTCTCTTGTCCTCCAGCTACAGCGGGCTCAGATTCCCCGGGGCAGGCGGTGGAAGCGGAAGAGATCGTGAAGCAGCTCGACATGGAGCAGCTCAAGGAAACCCCGACCAGCACTAGCACAGACGGTCGAGACCTGACCTTTGACCCTGCACTAAACCCCAGACCGCTGCCTCATGTAGACACATCGGTAGAGGAAGGAGAGATCGTCACAGAGGCTGATATGCCACCGCTAACTGGTGAGTGTCTGGGAGGTTTATTTCAGCTGTACTGCTGCCTAAAGCAGAATCCTCACACTTTCTCTCTTGATTAGCCGTAGGATCCAACAGCAGTTATCCGGATGTCCCGCCATCGCCTCCAGCAGAAGGGACTTACGAGGAGGACTGGGAGGTTTTTGACCCGTGAGCCAAATTTCAACACACTTGATCTAAATAATCTCAGTATAGCCATGTGCTTGTGCGCTAACTTGCCTCTGTCTTCCAGTTATTTCTTCATCAAACACGTGCCACCCTTGACTGAAGAGCAGCTCACCCGTAAGCCTGCGCTTCCTCTGAAAACCAGGAGCACCCCCGAGTTCTCTCTCGTCCTGGATCTAGTGAGTTGCCATCTATCATTGGTCTTGTTGATACAAGCTCTTTTGATGCAAGAAAATAAGTCTCCGTTGTTGTTTTATTCCAGGATGAGACTTTGGTTCACTGCAGCCTCAATGAATTGGAGGATGCAGCCTTGACCTTCCCTGTGCTTTTCCAAGATGTCATTTACCAGGTAAAAAAAAAAAAAGCATCTAGGTATTGCACCTTTTCAATTATTTTATTTTTTTGTGCACTGATTTGTATGTTGCTCCAGCAGTAGTTTTCTCTCTTATTCCTAAAGGTGTATGTCCGGTTACGGCCATTCTTTAGAGAATTCCTGGAGCGCATGTCTCAGATTTATGAGGTGAGCAAGTTTACATTATTTTTGTTTACTTTTTTTGTTTTGTTTTGCAAAACAAAATGTACTAAATATTTAAATCAACTGTAATTGTGAAGCTCATGTGCAACAACAACAACAAACATACAATTGTGTGTCCCATTACTTTATTAATGCAATAAAGACAAAAATCCAGTGTTCTTCAGAAAGATAACTATTAAACGTGCGAAATTATCTAACAAAAAAAATTACACATGAAAAATTTATTCAATATATCAAGCACAACAATCTGTTGAACTGGTTGGATTAATTCTAGAAAGAGTGTTATTTTATATTATTGTAGATTTATTGATGATCTAAATTGTCTTTAACATTATTTAATTTTTAAATAACTTTACAAGCTTTTTTAAAAGATTTTATTATTTCACTTTTAGTTTATTTACTGTCAGGTAATAATTTTAGTGCATGAACTTATTTCTAAATTCTGTTTTTGTTGCTTTATTTTATTAAACAAAAATGTTTATAATGTAGTTTTAGACAACGATTTTTACCCTTTCTAGAAAAAAAAAATCATTTTGTGGAGTCCCACATTTTGCATGTAATTCCCTTCAGCATTACATAAATTACAGCCGTTTATATGTTACCAGTCTTGTTGATCAAATTAATTAACATGGAAAATGTTTCCCATAGCTACAAACCAACAATTGGCCAATTATCTGGCAAGCTACTAAATTACTTTTTTTTTTTTCCCTTCGTTTTGTCTTCATTTTGTTTTTGTTTTCACACGAATCAGGTTTTGAAACTGTTGTAGATATCCCAGGTTATGGTTGAGGGGTTGCAAAAACTGCAAATGCCCATTAAAAAATGAAGAACTGCGTAAGAGTCCTCTTCTTGGTCCTTCATGTGCTTCATGTCTTTCTTTTTAACTAATGAACATCCTGCCTATGATGTGGTCTACTGCTTTCACTTATGACTGCCATTAATGACGTAATCTTGAATTATTCGCAGATTATTCTCTTTACTGCTTCCAAGAAGGTGTATGCTGACAAGCTGCTGAACATCCTGGATCCTAAAAAACAGCTGGTTAGGTCAGTTGCCTCTCAAATGAAAAAATATAAAAAGTGAATGACATTTAAATTGCATTAAATTGAAGCTACATGTTTCCTTTTCCACTCATAGTGTGTAGGGTTGATGGGAACAAATGTGTGTCTCGATTCTCAGGTTGTAAGATGTTTAAGGTGAGCATTCAGTTCAAAATGTCTTTCCTCTGGTATTTTAGGCACAGATTGTTTCGCGAACACTGCGTATGCGTCCAAGGCAACTACATCAAAGACCTTAACATCCTCGGGAGAGATCTCTCCAAGACGGTGATCATAGACAACTCACCTCAGGCTTTTGCCTACCAGGTTTGTGAAGCCGCCTTGAGGAGTGGTCCGTGGTAAGTTATTAGTATGTAAAGCTCAGGATGTGCTCCTCTCATTGCAGCTTTCCAATGGGATCCCCATTGAGAGTTGGTTTGTGGACAAGAATGACAATGAGCTCCTAAAGCTGGTGCCATTTTTGGAGAAGCTGGTAGAACTGGTATGTGCCTCTTGTTTCTTGTGTGTGCTGCTTTTTAAAGATAATGTGCATTATTAAGATATTACGTTTAGAAATACTTTCTCCTATACTGGTTTAATCTTTAGAGAAATTCAAGGGTTGTTTATTAAGATTTCTTAAAGGGGTGGTTCACTGGGGTTTTTCTAGGCTTGATTGTGTTTATGGGGTGCAGTCTAACATGTGTTAATTCTTAGTTTTTTTAAAAACGCATTATTTTTCACATAATTTACCTTTATTCCACACCGCTCTGTCCCTTCTCTGAGAAAAGCGCTGATCATTTCCTTCTTTTATGAAGCCCCTCCCTCAGAAATAGGCAATGGGCTCTGATTGTTATTGAAGAGGATCGTGCAGAACCTGTGCAAGCATGGCTTTTAATGGTAGGCCTATGTTTTTTGTTTGTTGTTGTCTCATACTTTTAGATATGCTGTTATTTGTAAATGCTACTGCTTCTGTTAGCTTTTAATATACAGTTTTATCCCGATTAAAGCTTTAATACAGTACAGCAACTGCACGCATGCGCGTCCATGTATAACGCTTCTCATAACTAGGATGAATGAAAGCGAGAGAGAGAGAGAGAGAGAGAGATGCAGAGCGTGTGCAGAGCAGGGGGACGCGAGGAACAGTATAAAGAACCGCTGCTTTAGAACATTGATTTTGAAACTTGTGAATCCATTAGAATCATTAGAAGACAGAATCGCGATTCATATATGAACAGATTTTTACGTGCACCTCTAGTTTTCTCTTCCTCTTCTCTAAAGCAGCGCAGCATGGCCTCGCCCCCTTTCTGCCTTTTCCAGAGAGCAGAGTTTATCTGGATTTGTGACCTCATAAACCCGGGAAGTAACTTGTTGTAGTCCCTACGAGCCGTTTTTGTAGGCATCAAACTGCCAGAATTTTAAAAGACGATATCTCAGTTTGCATTGAACCTTCAGCATCGTAACTTTGCAGATATTGTTTATGCTCAAACAGCAACATTACACACTAACGCTAAAAAAGTGAAATCGCAATCAACCACCCCTTTAACAATTTAATTCTTAGAAAGGATAATGATGATGATAAAAAAATATAAAAATTATTTTAATAACTCAGACACGCTCTTTTTTTATAATACTGTTTTATTTATAATACCTGGGCTTTTGATTTTAATCTTTTTATTGTTAAGTACATTTTTGCCATGCCAATTTGAGTATTACCCAGGCTTAGTGTCATATGTCTTATTGTGAAGAGTATACCTTTATGTGATTGATTTAAAAAAAACAATTAAATGTATTTTTATTTCTATGAAATTATCTTCATTTATTTTTTTGAAAAAATTATTGTTATACCATTCTTTCTCAAACCACACACTTTCATAATTCTGTTTTTAGATAAAACATTTCCTTTTTTTAATTATTTTTAGCAGTAAACATTTATTTAAAAAAGTATTGTTATGCCTATTTAATGTCATACATTATAGTGTATTATGTGATTTTTATTTAAATAAAAATTTACTTTTATAAATTATTAAATAAGAATTCTTTGCAATTTAATTCTTAGAAGAAATAAAAACAAGTCAAACCACACATTCACAATTATAATTTTTTTTTAATCACACCTTTTTAAATTAACAGTAAAGTTTTGTTTCTGTGCGAATTCACAACAGTGTTATCCATATTTAATGTCATACATTATAATGTCTTAGTGTGAAGACTATACATTCATTATGATGTGATGAATTTTGTTATAAAATAAAAAAATATGCACTTTTTATTTATTAAATAAGAATTCTTTGCTATGTAATTCTTAGAAATAATAATAACTCAAACCACATTCACAATTGCATTTTTAATAACACCATTAGTTTTTTTTAATTAACATTAAACTTGTTTCTGTGCCAATTTACAAAAGTATTGTTATCCATGTTTAATATCATACATTATAATGTCTTCGTGAAGACTATACCTTCATTATGTGATTGATTTTGTTTTAAAGAAATATGTACTTTTATTGACTAATTTATTAAATAATATAAATAATAATAATAACTCAAACCACACATTCACAATTCCAATTTTTTTTTAAATAACACCATAAAAGTTTTTTTTAAATAACACCACATTATGCATTTCTAAGTTCAAAATAATTTTACACTCATATCTAAGGTGTCACTTACAATGATCGTCTGTTTTTTGTTGACGTGGCATGTTTGTGTTTTATTCCAGAACGAGGATGTTCGTCCACACATAAGAGAGCGATTTCGCCTGCATGACCTTCTACCCCCGGACTGAATATTGCAGCGAAACGAACATTTCTTGCCAACCTGACTGTTTTTAAGCAGTGGGGAAATTACACCATGGGGGAAGGAAAATTTGCCACAAACACTTTGCCATCAGGATTTCAACTACAGACCTGCCTACATGGGCATACTTTTATGTGGGGACGGAGGGAGGGAGGGGGGTTTTCGGGGCTCTGGATAAATGACTCGATGTATGCATATGTTTTCTATACACACATTTATGGAACCGAAGGCGAGGCCGAGAAGATCACTTTTGATTGGTCGTCCATCTCGGCTCTGCGGTGGACTTTAAGGTAAAGCGCTGTGCAGAAGTGGACTTGCGTCGCTCCTTTTGGTGCTCAAAGGGACCCTCTGCCCTTCCAGGCCACTGGCTTTTACTTCAACGAGAATGACCGGTTGAATATAACTATATAAAACATGAATATATACATTCAGCTATGTGTGTATATGTATATATAACATTTGTACATATATATTTTTTCCTGTCAAGTTTGTAAAACACAACTTGCCCTTTGGTTTTAATTCATTATGCATTCCTTTTCAGTTCTGGCTTTTTATCATTTTTTTTACTCTAGATTTTATGTATATTTAATGGCCTGTCCGTTACGCTCTAGCTTTTTCTCGTAATCCGGTCACATCCCACATATGGAAAAATTTCTGTCTAGTCTCTAGTTGTGGCTTTCAGTTACTGACGGCTTTATACCATTTATCCATGTCAGTCCTAATTTGGGGATTTTAACTTTTATGTTCTTAGTTTGTTTTTATATACAAGTGTAGATGAAATGTAAAATACTGTATGTGCTTTAAATGGCTTTTCTGTGGAGAAAAAAAAGAAGCTTTGTCTTTCTGAAATGTCCGGTAATTGTAGCAGCAGCACATGAACTAGCGTAAATCACTGCTCCGTGTTTCCCCCTCATTCCGCTTCTCCTGCGCTCCTGCTTTGGAAACCGTTTAGGAATTATCATGTACAGCTCTACCTACCTCTGAAGGGTAGACCTTCCGTTTCATTCAGTGTTACCCCAATGTTTTTTATTTCCAAGGACATTAATACATGATTTTAATGTACCAGAATTGTTCGAATTGGTTTTTCTTTGTCGTTTGGGATGAAAGTATCACATGTGGCCTTGATTTGTTCGTTTGGTCCTGTATGGATGAATGTTTTCAGATAGAACTATAAGCTCATCATTACAGCACGTATGATCGATAATTTTGGAAATGAGATTTGAACTGAGAAATTTAGATTTTGTTGGGATATTTAATAGTTTTTCAGAGAATCTGGCAGCTCTTGTCAATTTAGGTAAATATTTTCTCAAAATGGCAGCTTCTGTTTTGGGAATATGAACATGCTGTCAATCACTCAATTATTATTATTTTTTAAATGCAGTGGATGAAATGAGTATTTTGATTGGATGGTTGTGTGTTTGGTTGCAATGTCTGTGAATGGCGAGGCCTTTTGTTAAAGATAGCTGTAAATGCATGAATGTATTTCAGTGTAGCTTTTTGCAGCGCACATGAAGCAACAAGAACACATTCTTAAAGATCTTTTTCAGATTATGTATGATTTCATATGCATGTGTTTTTCCAGGAGTTTTGTCCTATATCGTGTCTGTCAGTGAAATCCGTGATGGGTCCTGGACTTTGGTTTCATGTAGCTTTGACTTCAAAACAACAGCAGTTAGTCACTGAAAACGGCATGCTGAGAAGTTCATTACTGACATTAAATTTGCTGTTTTTGCACATTAGAAACTTGCATTTTTACTCTTAGCTGTTCATACGTTTGGGTTTTTACACTTTGGTTCATACGCTTTGGGATATAGTTTACATTTTAGATATGATTATTCACCCATGCTTATAATGGGAAATTCAAATCTACAAATGGGACTTGTCGGGAAAACGCCTTTCACCTCAGTATCAACAAGTAATTATTTATTATAATTAATATGAATTATATATTATTAATTATATAATTTTAGTTTAATTTAAAGTTCCAAAATCAAAAGAAATGTGTAATAGTCATTTTATTTATTTATTAACTATATAGCGATCTATAAAACTACACACACATAGTTTAATTATTAATTCTACATACCATACCAAATATATATTTTATAAATAAATTACATTGTGTTTTTGGCCTAAAAATCACATCTTGCCTATTTCAATCATTATAAACATAACGATAAAAACGACTTTTCCCCAATGTGGCCAGAGTGCTAAAATGCGTTTTATTGGCTTATATATTTTTCCCACCTAATGATATAAAAATGTAATCTTATGATACTTTGATTTAGGTGTTCTATGCAGTTGATATGGCATAAAGTGTGTTCATTTTTATTCTGCTTTCTGACATGTTCTCTCTATTATCGAAAAGTAACACAAATTATGCATTATTTATAATCTAATCATCAACAGCTAGTAGACCTAGCAAAGATAGCTAGGTATTTTGGCGGGAACTGTGACTGGTTACCATGGTGAAGGTTTGCGCAGGTGATGTCAGTCCTGTCCTCCAGTCCAGCTGGGGGCGTCTCTCTCCCGCGCTCTGTGTGACCCGCGACTGTTGTTCAGTGTAAAAGAAGAGGAGGCCTGTTTAATTTCTCGCCCTCTGGTTGCGAAGCGTCCGCTCGAAGTCGCTCGTTTGACGGCGGGCTCATGTCGAAGGACGGCCGGTACGACGGGCGCCGGCGCGGCGGGGCTCAGCAGCACCGGCTCGGGCTGAGGCCGGCTCAGAGCGGGGACGCCAGAGACAGATCGGCCAGCAACAGCTCTGGATCATCTCACGGAGGAGGGAAAGCCAGGAATACGCCCATCAACATCGCCCTAAAGGTAGCAAACAACAGCCGTCTCAAAACATAGCGAGCTGCCTACCTAGACAGCATTATTTAGGGATGATAAGGGCTCTCTGTGAACGCCCAGAAGTGCCGCCTAGGCCGGCAGCTGTTAGTTAGGGTGTAGAGCATTACCCTAACAGAGTTACTATGGTGACAGTACTTTCCCCACAAAATGTCACAGTTATTGTTGCTACAATAAAAAAGATTGTGGTAAAGTTTTGATGCTGCTGTGATTCTGAACGCTTCTTTAACTGTATGCTTGCTTGTTGTTACCACTGTAACAGCACTGTAAGCAGTAGCTTAGTGTATTTAACTGTAAATGTGACCCTGGACCACAAAACCAGTCATAAGGGTCATTTTATTGAAATTGAGATTTATACTTTATCTGAAAGCTGAATACATTTGTTAGGATAGGGCAATATTTGGCCGAGATACAACTATCTGAAAATCTGGAACCTGAGGGTGCAAAAAAAATCCAAATATTGAGAAAATCGCTTTTAACGTTGTCCAAATGAAGTCCTTAGCAATGCTAATATTAAGTTATATTAAGTTTTGATATATTTATGGTATGAAACATGGAACATGATCTTTACTTAATATCCTAATGATTTTTGGCATAAAAGAAAAATCGATCATTTTGACCCATACAATGTATTGTTGGCTATTGCTACAAATATAAATGTGCTACTTATCTCTGGTTTTGTGCTCCAGGGTCACAAATGAGTTTGTGCAGATGTGATCTACTCACATGGATTGTGTTGTAATTCTTGACTGTTACATATTCTTAAACGCCTGATGCAAGAGGGTGTATTTTTTGGGGGTTACGTTCTGTGTGTTATTGTGACCTGAAAGGTTTCAGTCACTTCAGATATTCAGGGTATTGTGGGCAGTCACAATTTGTCAGAACATAATCAGTCTCACAGATACACAACACAAATGCCACCATTACATTACGTAACAGTAACACTCAAGAAAACATAACATAAAAGTACCTCACAATAACATGACAAATGAAGAGTAACGTAATGCAATATAATGTTGACACGGCGTGACATGACGGTAACAATGCAATGTACCATTATAGTAACAATGCATAATATGACATAATAAAAAGCAGCATTTTAGGGGCCAAGCACTCCAAAGGCAAAATGAGGAGCTAAGCATTAGGGATGGGAATCACCAGAGGCCCCACGATACTATATTATCACAATTCTTGTGTCACGATACAATATTATTGCGATTTTTAAATATATTGCAATTTATTACCTTTTTCCAACTTCAAATTCTGTCCCCAAACGAAAATTTGGCAACATCTGTTTTAACTAAAAAGAAACCTTTCTCAGAATGTTTGTCTCACTTCAATTTTATTGTTGCAGTGCAAAATGGGATTGTCAAGCAGACAAACTGACCAACACTTTCATGAAAACCGGTCATAAATGTTGTATGCACCTAGCAAACTCAGCTATTTGTATTACAGTCTAGTCCACTTTAATTAAATGTTAACCGGTATGCACTGCTGTGCTACTACAGGTATTTTGAACAATGCAACTTGTACAAAAAAGATGTGCAGACCCTTCAGCAATTGGGGGGTTTGAAAGTAAATTACTGTTAACTCCCTGGGGTCGACGGTCGCGCGGTGCGCCCAGCTCACTTTTTTTTAAGACCAGTGCGAAAGACACTAAAAATACTCTGTTGATTTTGGTCACACAAATAAGTGTTATATCATTCAAAACTGTTAAGTGTCTACTTTTATTTGTGTAAACTCACAATAACAACAAAAACTTTGTGCTTTTGTAAAATAAAGAAAACATACAGGGTGCGTTCTCCGTCTTCTCTGTCTCCGCGAATATCCATCTGAAACGCGTCACTAAATTGAACTGAAAATCAGCGAATACTTTACACTAGCCTCATTCACACAGCAGCAGAATACGGTTGTCAGTCCTGTTTTTGAGTCCTTAATACGGTTACATTCACACACAGTTTGGTTATTTACGGGTGTGATTTTTTTTTTTTTTTTTTCTTTGGACCGAACTCACACCTGTAAATTTTCAGGACTCACAACCGTGTTCTCGGAACACATGCGCTGTGTGAACGGAACAGGACTGGACTATTAGTTGTCTGTCACGTCATACAGTGCGCGGGAGAGAGCCACTCTGCCGCACAAAATGCGCGTCTACCATGTGTTACGTGTCTCACACACACACTAGGGCTGTGCAATTAATCGCATGTGATTGTCATGCGCATCTCATCAGTAAAGCTGGTTCTGTGATTAGTAGTAAATCTCCATCACCTGCTTTCAGATGGAGCAGCATTTAATACACAGAGCTGTAGTTCACTGACAAGCTAGGCGATATCGCATTCATAATCTCTGCGTCAGTCGATTGGACTCTAGTCCTGTCAGAAAGTGTTCATACAGACAGTATTCTAAACACAACTGTAAGCTGCTGTGTGAACGGGACATTTCGAGACTCACACCTGTAAAGAAAATGCGGTTGTCAATCCCAAAAACTGACAGTGTGAACGTAGCCACAGAGACATGAGAGACATATCTATTAAATGAAGTCTACTTTTAAATGAAGTAAGTCTTATCGAAAACAAATATTCTTTGATAAAGTAATCCGTATGAAACCAACACAATGTTCAGTCTTTCCCGTCTAAACTCATTATCTCTAATGTGATCCACATATGTAAATATCCACGTGAGATGCGTGCACATGTAAACGCCCAACATAAAGTGTGACGATAGTCAAGTTCATCACGGCTACATTTTTTTCCCCCCAAAACTTACTAACCACACAATTTATTTTTCAAAAAAATGCAAACATGTATGATGTAGATCAATTCTGCTCACATATTATTGTAGCACAGTTTGTGCTGGATACAAAAAAATTACACGTTGACCAATAGTATGTTATAAGTAGCTGAAATAAGCGCAAATGTCACGGCATGTCAAAAAATCTCAAGGGCCCCCAAATCACCTCAGACCCCAGAGGGT